CGGTACGTAACGGATTATAGTCGGACATCGTCAGGGCAAAAATAAATTTCAACCTTCAGGGATACGTATGCGGGTCAGACAGGACTGGCCTGCACGTGGTATTGCTTACAAGATTCATAACGAACATCGTCACGACAAAAGTGATACGCCAGATGGGACCATTCGCATCAAAGAGGCCAGACGAGAAGAACTCAGACGCGATTGGCCACTGTCCGCGTCGAGCCTAGTCGTGCAGTGGGGAAGGGAGGTACGAAAAAATTACGGCGAATACTTAGGCTTTTGTCGTAAGCGTCGACAGACCGCTTAAGGTCGAAATCTGGGAGATGATATCAGGAAGCTCGAAAATCTTAGTTATGAGGGAGAGATGGTAGCAGTGAATTTAAAAAACCACTTCAAAACAGGGTTTCTAAATATATTATTTTGGGTTTCCAAATGATCTACCGCTAAACCTCTGGAGGACCCATCTCGAAGTCAAGAAGCTGAGTGTTCGGAAATGAAAGCGTTAAAAGTGCCTTTATACTTCCCGGCGTAAGGTGTTTGAATAATGTCGACTTGAATACCAGCAACTTAAGCGAAAACATCCTTTCTGGCGGAAGATTATTTCAAAGGAATCAATACTGGTAAGCAAGAAATGGTGAGCGCACTTGAGAGAAGAGTTTCCTGTTGAACACCCTCGAAATAGTTGCAATCTTATAGCGGTGGCAGGCGTTCAATAAACCAAAGAAAAGATTGCAATATTTGACGACTGAAGAACAAAAATTTTTAAATCATTAGCTTCATACCCGGAAGGAAAAAAATGCGATTTGAATCCACATATTTGCGCGACTTTTGCAGATATTCTGTCCTCATAAGTTGATACAGCAAGTTTATTTGTATAAGTTAAACCTAGGTCAGTTATAGTAAAGCATTCTGGGAGTGGGTAATTCTGAAAAATTATGGGACCAGGAAGTTTGGCAGGAACATGCGAAGCTTAAGCGTAGTAAATTGGCATTAATTTTATCAAAACAAACGTTTGTGGTGTCCTATGAATATGAGTAAACACACTTGAGGTCATCGGCATAAACAAAAGTTTGCAAATTTTCGAGTTAAGTCGAATTAGCAACGATGTAAAGAAGGAAGAGTAGCGCACCCAGAACCGTGCCTTGAAGTACGCCATTCATGATACAGTGACGTATCGAGTAGTTATTAGCGACCTTGACTTTCTGATATCGGTTGGGCAAATAGAACCTGATATATGCATGTATAGAATAAAATAGGTTTATTATAGCACCACTTGGGCACTGTCAGTCTCACTTGAACACGGAAAAAAAACCTAAAACAATCTAATCCATGTCGACTGCACTTTGACAGCATTTGTCTTCAGTGTCTCTTTAGTCAACAGAGCGCGAATTGAGAGTTTTTTAAGTTAAAAAATAAACATGAGTTCTAAGGAAAAATAATCGCAAAAGTTTTAAGAAAGAACGATATGTTCCACATAAAAGTTGAAGTGTGCAGTTTTTTAGTTTCTTGGTGGGCATGAATAATTTGTCCTTCATGGAAATTGAAGAACTTTGATATCGACCAGATCTTGAAATTATTTTCCAGTTGGGTAAATTTTGGTGTGTTCTAGTTGGTGGTTGTCAGTCTATGTGGCTAACTGTAAAGGGGGCGGTCGCACATTTCCTTCGTGTTTTTCTGGAGGCTTGCCATAATTGTCTGTACTAAGAGCTGAAAAAAGGTGAATATATATCAGGAGTGAGAAACATTCAATGGTCAGTCACAATCAAAGCTGTCAAAATAATATTGAATCATGTATCATATTGATTCTTGTGAGTATGACACTGTAGAAGTAATGATGGACTGTTAACTATGATCTAATATAGTTGTATACATGTTTAATATGACTTTAATATAGACTTACGTACAACTAATATATAGGGTTTTATCAAAAGGGATGTTATTATTAGCTCCTTAAGGGATATTTATTGTCAGGTCAGATAGACGTTAGAAAGGATAGCTTAAAGAAAGAATATAACTATTCGTTACATGTTTATCAATGATGCTAACTTTCATAAATTTGATTGTTTTTAGTGCTATGTTACGGTGTTATACAAGCGGCTGGTACCATCAGAGCCCTTTAGAACCAAATTCTATATCGAAGAATTGACTTAAAAAGGTCCTATTTTATTGAAAAATAAATGTGTATTGTTATTTGAAAGGAATTTCTTAGTTTTTATTTTAAACTGAATTAGGGTTCGACTGTTCCGAATAGAATTTGGAAGAGCATTCCAGATAGTGGCATATCTTTTGGTGTAGAAATTCGAACGTGGGGACTTTGTGAATTTGGGCATCCTTAGAGTATCTTCGTTATTTTTGGTGTTTCTGGGGGCGTTTTGTTTTGTTAATAAATTCCTTTTGAGTATTTGTTGGTCATGGGTGACCTTGAATAGGAATTTTAGACCATTTTGGAGTCTTCTGATCCAGAGTGGTCGAAGACCGTATTTATGATAAAGTTATAAGTATGAACCTTGGATGTTATCACTTCTGTACAAAAATCAAGTAAAACTTCTCTGAATGTCTTCTAGTTTCTTTCGACCGTCTGAAGACATTATACCGAAGAAAATTGAGCAATAATCTAGGAGAGGTAAAACATACATTTTGAAAGGTTGTATTCTAAGTGCGTTTAAGGTGAAATTTGTACATATGAATCCACATAGGCGAGCGGCTTTCGGTGATATTTCACGGACATGGGGAGATAAATCAAGGGTATTTGTATAGCTGAGACCTAAATCTTTTACAGATGGGGCCTCCATTATTTCATTATCCTCGAAAATTATGGGCGGAAGTTTTTGTGGGCCACAGATCAGGAGATGACATTTTTCGGGTGAAAAGGGCATCTTCCATCGACTACTCCATTCGCTGAGTTTTCTGAGGACATTTTCAATTGTTCTGTGAATATTGGCAACTGTTTTCCTGTTATATGCATATGTAAGTTTAAGGTCGTTCCCATATAAAAACGTCTCACCTGGACGATAAGTCGTGAATATATATGAGAAATAGAAGGGGGCCTAGGATAGTGCCTTGAAGTACTCCACTGGTAAAAAGGGATGTTTCTGAGACTACGTTTCGAATTCGCCCCACTCGATATCGGTTTTGAAGATAGGATTTAAGAAAATCGAGGAGAGGAGGCCAAATTTTTTGACTTTTGAGCTTTAACAGTAGTCTTTCTTGGGGGACTTTGTCAAAGGCCTTTTTTAGATCGAAGTATATTGGAGCTACTGTGTTTCCATCATCTCTTTTACTGAAAACGAATTCGAAAAAAGTCAGGTGGCAGGACTGACATGACTTTTTGGGTGAAAATGCATGTTGAGAGGAGGGAATGAGGTTGGCGTTTATGAGATGGTCTAGTACTTGGTTGTATGTATGTATATATTTAGAGGGTTGAAGGCAGAGCCCTTGATAAACCTATTTATGTACAGTGCTTTCTCAGATTCGTACTTAAAAATAAATTTGCAATCATTTACAATGTGCTCGGATCACAGTTCAATCGTAAGCATAAAGTAGTGCATAAAGTCACTGTAAATTGGTGCGGACTGATAGTATACGACAGTTTTTACAAAACTGACTGTACGTAGTGATGCTGTAAAAACCGATTCCAGTCGTAAACTAGGCGAGCAAGTTTTCTTTTAAACATAAAATTTGTGTCAGCCGTCACAATCTCGCTTGGAAGCAAGTTGCACGATCGGACTACCCGCTAGCTGAACGAAAATTTTCGACGGTGTGAGCGTGGCCGCGTAGTTGTTTTGTACGGGCAAACTCAAAGACGTCCTCCGCCCTTAATGAGCAAACCTGGCCGCCGACAATCTGGGACGTCCAAAGTAGACTGCAGTTTATTTTTCTACAAGAGAGCAGAATAAGCCAAGCAAATTCTGCCTCTTCTGCTACGACAACTGCTTAAGACCGCCGACTAACTTTGTCGTTCTGCGTTGCGCCTGTTCGAGTCAGTCGATTTACTTCCTCATCCACGGTGAAGCAGCTGACTTTCCGTACTCAACATGATGTCTTACAAAGACACCAGAGTCTTTCGAAGAGTTCGGAATGAAATATTTTAAATGCGCGTCTGATCCAGTATAGAGTACTAGTTGCCCTCTCGACCGTCTTTCTACAGTAGCGATAGATTTTTGGTCGTTCATACTCCCAAAGCTCTGTGTCTTCCCACAGTTCCTTACCTCGTCCCGTCACTATAAAACTGGTGTTTGGGAGAGGCATCTCGGCCAGTGTTCAGTCGCAAGACCACGCATTCGGACACGTTAAACTTTAAAAACCATCTGTTCGACCAAGCACACAGTTTGTCGATGTTCGACTGCAACTCCTCTGCGTCATCATCGCACTTGACTTCACACCATATTTTTATGTCATGCGCGAACATGAGAGCCTCGCAATTCACTTCGCTGATACAGTCATAAACATAAATCAGGAAGATTACTGGGCCTAAGACAAAACCCTGTGGGACAGCACTTTCCACCTTTATCCATTCCGAGGTAGAATTACTGACGACGACTCTTTGTAGTCTCGAGGACAGAAAACTCCTGATCCACTAAAATATTCCTCCTTGAATTCCTATATTCCAGATTTTTCGTAAGAGAAACCTGTGTGGGACACTTTCAAAGGCCTTCTTTAAGTCAAAACCCATAGCGTGTTGCCCATCACGCAATATTTTTTTCTGTTCCAGGTATTTCATCAAGTGTCTTTTGATATTACGTTCCATTATTTTACTCGCGAAGCAAGTAAGACTGACGGGACGATAACTTCCGCAGTCAAGTCTTGAGCCTCCTTTATGGATCGGAGTAATGAGTGCGCACTTAAACTCTTCCGGGAGCTCGCCGTCTTCAAATGACTCTTGAAATATTGCGGATAAGGGTTTGCACAATTCATTAGCAAATTGAAGAATTGCTACTGCGGGAATTTTATCTTGGCCAGGCGATTTGGCAGGTTTCAGCCGGAGTTGCTCGGCCCTTACTATGGTCAATGAAAAGAGTGGGTTCTCGGTTAAGGAGGGTAGGTAGGAAGTATGAGGCGGGTTACTAGGAGGAGAGGTTAATAGGAGAACGAATGGATGAACAAATATAGAACTTGATTCTTGGGTGAATACGGACTGAAAGAATTCGGAAAGGAGGGACGTTTTAACCTGGTCATCAGTCTCCACTTTTCCATCTGCAGACCTGAGGGCAGGGATCACCTCCTGAGTCCTTTTAGTACTTCGTATATAAACATATAGAATTTTCGGATGCTCCGACGAATTTGGAAGTATGCTCAGTTCAAATGTTTCGTTGCCGCTTATACTCCTATATGTGTTTTTTCGGAGCCAGTTAGTCTCTAACGACTCCACAGATTATTTGTTTTTCTGAATGCGGCCTTTAAGTCGAAGTTTATCCATTTTGGGCAGTTTGTGATTGTCCTTCTTCTGAGAGGAAAACTGGAATAAACTATCTCCTTCAGTAAGGAACTGAAGGCGAGTAAAGATGGCCGGATGCCGAGGACTTCCAATTTTACTAAAAGGCGTCTATGGGGCATCTTGTCAAAGCTATGCTAAGATCAAAGTATATAAAAACCACTGACTGCTGCTCATTACGAAGGGAAATGAGTAAATTAAGAAATGTTAAGTGGCAAGTTTCGCAGGAACGTTCAGGTAAAAATCCATGCTGACTAGAGCTGAGAGGCCGATTGGCTAGACAGATATCAAGAAGTCCACTGAAAATAATCCTTTCAAGAAGCCTTGCTAGAGACGGCGTTTTATGCACGCCGCAACATTTATTAACATCGAATCGAGATCCAGACATCAAGCCGGGAATGATAATTGACGTTTTCCATGTTCCAGGAAATAATCCTTTTTAAATATAAACCGAGAATAAATGACTAAGAAATATGGAAATGTCGGAAGCTTGTTTAATAATCGAATTTGGAATTCCTTTCGTTCGTGAGTTCTGATGAGACATCGATAGAAATCAGTGTCTTACCTGAAAGCGAGCGAAAGGAGGGAACGGTTTCGGTCTCAGTAGTAAGGTGTTTTGCAAAAACAACGTACTTAAGAAATTTGTCTTGTTATTGTCATCGATGAGAAAGATTTCGTAATCATTTAGCATGGGTGGAAGTTCGTGCCCACGCATAGAGAAGGACCGACGCAGGACGCTTTTTGCGACGGATTTAGCAGGGTTCAGATCGCTGAGGGTAAGTGATTCTCTGTGCCTCTCGCAACCTTGGCGAATCCTTGAAATCATTTCGAAAATCTATGTTATTCTAAGATGAGCGGATAAAAAACTAATGGATGGGTCGCGGAGCTTCAGTCTTAATTTTTTAGGTCTGGTGCAAAGAAGATAATAAACAAAGGAAGTCCGATGATATAAATTTGGGAGATCTATCGGGCACATACTTGAAGATTTTTCTGAGAACCTTGGACATGACGTCACAAAGAAGAGTAGCATCACTACAGGAGCGATCCTTCTGTGAGCTCATTATCAGTTCATCTAAGAATCGTTGAAATATTTGAACTAGCTTCGAAACTGAGGCTCGAGCGAGATAGGCGTAGAGAGTCTTTAGCTATTAATAACGTGAATTCTTCTAAATCAGTTGCTCAGATCTTCCGTCAGAGATCATCTGCTAAGTCCCACCAAGTCATTCCGCCCTTGCTTAGTGCAAGTGATGCCTTCATTACAGAGGAGTCAGGCAAAGCAGAAATTTTAAATTCGTTCTTTGCCAAGCATTTCACCATTGAAACTGATCCGATCCCTTTAATTCCTTCGTTGTCTGATGCTTCTCTTAGCTTCATTAATTTTACTCCTGAATGTATTCAAAAACTGATAAGCCATCTTCCTAACTCTCACTCAGTAGGTACGGATAATATCCCAAACTCTTTGATAAAACAGCTAAGAGATTTTCCTCCTCTGCTTAGCAAAATCTTTTCAGTCTTTCTCGTAAATGGCTTCTTCCCTGACTATTGGAAAACTTCTATTATTATTCCAGTATTTAAGTCTGGCTGTCGTTCTGACGTACAAAACTATCGAGGTGTCCATAAAACACCCTCTCTCGCCAGAATCTTTGAAAAAATTATCGCCGTAAAAATTACCGAATTTTGCATAGCCAATCAAGTTATTAACCCTTCCCAGCACGGTTTTTTACCAGATCGCCCTTGTGAAACAGGTCATCTGTCGTTTCTCGATCTACTTACCTCTCTTCGTAATGATCACCTATCTGTTGTCGTTATTTATTTTGATCTTAGTAAAGCCTTTGATAAAGTGCCACATAAAAGACTCTTCATTAAATTGGAAGCTATGGGAATTCGCAGTCCACTAATAGACTTTCTCAGGTCATACCTGTTTAATCGTAAACAAAAGGTTTTGGTAGGATCTTCACTTTCCAGTGAAAGTCCTTTTGTGAGCGGTGTCCTACAAGGTACCCTTTTAGGTCCACTTTTGTTCTTGCTTTACATAAATGATATTTCAGCAGCAGTTAAACATTCTCAATCATTTATTTATGCCGATGATCTCAAATGTGTATATTCTTTCAATAAATTTACGAGCCTTCATTGCCTGGAGCAAATCCATGCTGACTTGCTTGCTCTCTCAGCTTGGAGCTCAAAATGGCTAATGGTATTCTCTCCGTCTAAATGTCGTTATATGTGTTTTGGTCCTAATAGGCTACCCCAACCTGTGGTCTTTCAAGGAACACCTATGACTGAATGTACCACCATCAAGGATTTAGGTTTAAGCTACACTAGTAATCTTGATCTCTCACCGCACGCTGACAGAATTACAGCCAAAGCTGCCCAGATATGTGGCTTTATTTCTTACAATTTCTATCTTCCTGAAATTAAATTTAGGCTCTATCGTATAGATTGGCAAAGTTGAGAGATCCGGGTTGATTATTTGAAGAAGAAGAAGAAGAAGGTGGGCTCACCGGAACAGGTTTATTAGGATGCTGACGTTTCGATCTCAAGCGAGCTACCATCTTAGGCCGGGACAACACAAAAGCAGAACGGCTAACTCTTGAGGCGTGGTTCTCCGATGCCCACTCCATAAACAGGCATCTGGACCTTCCTGCAGCCTACAAAGTCCTACGTCATCACAATCGTAGAGCTCAGGACCAAACAACCACACCGGGCTTAAGGAGGCCATACGGAGACAGCCCGACGGCGAGTTTACTCGGTGAAGAAGAAGAAGAACCGCCAGACCGCCCACCCGACACTGGTGCAGTCACCTCCCCCCCCGGCGGAATGGTGACTCACAATGCACGCGGACAAAACACCAGTCAACCATCCCCTGATAGGCCGCGACAGCGAGAAGAGAGAGAGAGAAAAAAAATCGACCAGCAGGAGGCCGTCCAACGTGACACGCCACTTGTGATCTCTGGTGGATTGAGTGCATTTTACGCTTTGACAATGGAGAGCCGACCAAGCTCTTCGAAACGTCAGCATCCTAACAAACCTGTTCCGGTGAGCTCTATCGTATGTTTGTACTTCCCATTCTCGAGTATTGTTGCCCATTCTTTGGTTTGATGAATAAAGCCAGTCGTTTAAAACTTGACAATGTCCAAAGACGTTTTTCTAAAAAACTTTTAGATAGGGAACATCCCAATATCTCCTATTCAGATAGATGCCAGCTAATTAACCTAAATTTTTATGTGTTCGAAGACTAGAAGCGGGCTTCTGTCTCCTCTTTCGCATTAATCATAGTTCAAATTTTCCTCGCATTTCAACACTTACTCCTAGTAGTCGCCCATACAATCTTCGCAACTCGTCTCTAATTATACCTCCTCCAGCGTCGTCCACCTCTATGCGCTCCCTTTTTTTCGCTTCCAGGTATACTTTCCTCTGGAATAACCTTCCAATAAATATAAGATCTTCAGAAAATCTGCATACCTTTTAGAGAAGGCTACGCCTTTATCTGAATACTGACTCGATTAAACTTTTATTTTCCTCATCCTTCCCAGACAACTTTTTCTATGACACTGTGAAAGGGCCACCGGGAATTTAGCATGCCGCTATTAAATTTCCGTATCTGTTCACGTTTCCTTCCTTTATGAGTAGTCTCGCTACCTAAGATCCCTCACCAGAAATGCCAATTATTCCAATTTTTCAGTTTATGCATCGTGCCATCACAGAATGCGCACCATCGATGCTCTTGGCGAAACCTTCTGTATTCGCCATATACTAGTAGTTTGGTCGCATCTCCTTTGCCCTATCCTCGGATGGACTCTGATGAATGTAAAAGACCGCATCTGGGTTCTTGTCGCCTCGAGACTGGTTGTCATCGTGCCCTCACTGAATGCGCTCCATCGACTCTCTTGGCGAAGCCTTCTATATTCGCCATATACTAGTAATCTGGTCGCATCTCCCTTCCCCCATGTTCGGATGGACTCGGTTGAATGAAACCGACCGCATCTGGGTTCCTATCGCCTCGGGACTGGTTTTCAATTTCGCCACTTATTTTTCTTATTCAAGGCGATACAGGCCAGTCCTGACCGACACGCCTACGTACCATTTTATGAAATCCGTTACACAATGCCATATACAGCTGTCATTTATTTCGGCCATGTTGATGTCGGACTATAATCCATTCTGTACCGCCACATGCAGGCCAGTCCTCCCTGTGTTTTTCTGATGCTATTTTTCTGAGGGTTTTTTTTTCTCTTGTTAAATTACTACAATCATTTTTAAATTTTGCTTTGGAGTTTTTTTTCACCCCTCGTTTTATTCATTTTCATTTTGCTTAACGGACTTCTAATCTCAAATACTCTGCATTGCATTTTGTACAGATTTTGCCTTCCTCGTCTAAATTTGGCATGCACATTTATTTTTACTTGCTTTGATGGGACCCCGACGGGTCTTTAATAAAAATAATTGAATTGAATTGAGAAAACCACGCAAGCCAAGTGATCCAGTGTGGTTATTTATTAAGTCATCACTTGCGCAATCGTAATTTTGGTAGGCCTGAAATCTACTGGTCTTTTTGAAAATGTAAGGATAAAGCGATAATATATTAGTATGTGGTCACTATTATTAAGGTCCTTTTGAAAGAGCCAAGACGAGGGGAAATTTTATTGGTAAAGATATGATCTAAAATGTGATTATCTGCTGTTGGAGAGCACAAAAACTGATACAAGTTATAAAAATTGATAATATGTAGAAAGAGTTAAAATCTTGGTGGACAGGACGTCGAAACCCAGTTTATTTCAGGTAGGTTAAAATCCCCAGTGATTTTTTGAACACCGAAAGCAGCTTTCAACATTAATCTGAAGATTTTACAGAGTTGTGCATCATCACTGGATAAAGAGTTTGAGAGATTTTACACATAGCCAAGGATGGCCTTTCTTTGCGACAAGCGAATAAAAGATGGAAACCAGAAGTTTCCTGAATGAGGAGGCATCCAGGTAAAAGGGAGTGTACTTTACGTAGGGTTTATCACAAAGCAGACAACCGTTTCCATGCCTAGGTGTGTGTACTTCGAGGTAGAAATCAAAGTCATCTATAGAAATGGAAAAATCAGGAATTAGAGAATGATTCCATGATTCTGTCATGCATATAATATCTGGCGTCATTTCGAGAACAATGCATCCGACTTGAGCCAATTTGTCTATAATATACCTGGCATTGAGTAAAATAATATCTTATGTGTTTCGAACGGCAAAGCTATTGTTAGTGGATATGCAAGCCGTGAATTAAAGTTATTTAGGGAAGCGGCACTAATAATAATTATTATTATATTAAGACCCGTCGGGGTCCCATAAAAGCAAGTAAAAATAAATTTACATGCGAATATAAGACGAGGTAATCAGAATCTTTACAAAATGCAATTCATAGTTTCTGAATTAATAGTCCATTGAGAAAAATGACTAGCGAGGCTTAAAAAAACTCCATACAAGAATTTAAAAATGATTGGGTTAATTTTACAGCGGGAGAAATTCATCAATAAAAAATAATAACAGAAAAATGCGGAGGGGAATGGCCTGCTTGTTGCGGTATATAATCGGACATCTTCAGGGCAACAATAAATGTTAGCCTTGAGGGGTACGCATGGGGGTCAGACAGGAATGGCCTGCATATGATATTGTATACGGGATTCAGAACTGACATCGCCTGGGCCGGATTGATACGCCGGATGAGACTATTCGCGTCCAAGAGGCCAGACGAGAGGAACCCAGACGCGATCGGCCGCAGTACGCTTCGAGCCCAGCCGAGGAGTGGGGAAGGGACGTAAGACCAAACTACTAGCAGACGGCGAATACTGAGGGTTAGGCCGTGAGCGTCGACAGACCGCATGAGGTCGTAATGCGGGAGATGACATCAAAAACAGCGAAAATTGTCGCTATGGGGGATGAGTGATAGCAGTGGATTTAGAAACCAATTCAAAACAGGGTTTCAAATGATATAGTTGAGGGTTACCACTTGATCTACCACCAACTCTCAGGAGGACTCTTCTATAAGTCAAGAAGCTAAGTGTTTGGGATTGAGAACTTTAACAGTGCCCTTATGCTGTGCGGTGTAAGATGTTTGCGTAAGTTCGACTTGAATACCAGTTATTTCGGCGATGATCTAATTTCAGTCGGAACATTATTCCACAAGAATGCATATTTGGAATCAAAGAAGAGGGAGCGCTTAGATGTAGTGCAAAGAGTCGGCGGGATCACCATGCAGGAGTTGCGCGTGGCACAAGACCGATCTCTCGGAGTGAGAGTGTCAATGAGCAGAAGAATGGAGCAAGAGTTGATAGATAAAGGAAGCAAAGGCCAGCAACGATTCTTCTAACCCACCAAAACTTCATGTTCGCCAGCTGACATCTCCGAGCATAAGAAATACCGGACGAAGGTTGATAGAACAGTTTTCGTGTGAAAACCCTCTGAACATTTTCCATTTTATTACGGTCGCAGTCGTTCATTAAACCGAAGAAAGGACAGCAGTATTCGAGGACTGGAAGAATAAACATTAAATAAATTCTTAGCTTCATTTCGGGATGTAAAAAATCATGCGATATGAATCCACATATCTGTGCGAATTTGGTAGAGATTCTGTCTGCATAAGGAGATAAAGTAAGCAACTTTGTATAACCTAGAACTAGGTCCTTTATGATAAGACATTCTGAGAGTGGATTATGCTGAAAACTTATGGCAAAAGGGAGTTTGGCAGGACCAGAAGACTTGCAACTACACTTGGATGATGAAATCTCTATCTGCCATGTTAAACCCCATCTGTTTAAGCGTAGTAAATCGGCATTAATTTTTTCAACACAAACATTTGCGGCGTCCTTAGACTATCAGTAAACACACTTGAGGTCGTCGGCATAAATACAAGTTTAGGATTTTCAGAGTTCAGTCGAAATATCATAAATGTAAAGAAGGAAGAGTAGCGGACCCAGAACCGTACCTTGAAGTACGCAACTCGTGATCGGGTGAGGTGTCCAGGAGCTATTACCCACCATGACTTTCTGATATCGGTTGGAAACATAAGACCTAATGAAGTCGAGTAGAGACGGCCGGATGCCGAGGACTTCCAATTTTACTAAAAGACGTCTATGGGGCATCTCGTCAAAGCTTTGCTAATATCAAATTAGATGAATACCACTGATAAATACCATTAAATAAATACCACTCGTCGCTGCTCATTACGAAGGGTAATGGTTAGATTAAGAAATGCCAAGTGGCAAGTTTCGCAGGATCGTTCAGGTAAAATTCCATACTGACTAGAGCTGAGAGGCCCATTGGCTAGACCGAAGTCACGAATTCCACTGAAAATAATCCTTTCAAGAAGCCTTGCTAGAGACGGCGTTTTATGCACGCCGCAACAGTTATTAACATCGGATCGAGATCCATACTTCAAGCAGGGAATGATAATTGACGTTTTCCATGTTCCAGCAAATAATCCTTTTTAAATATAAACCGAGAATAAATGACTAACCAATATGAGAAGTTCGGAATAATAAAAAAAATAATTTTAGGCAGAAGCCCAACAGGCAGCCACAGTGAGAAATCCTCTCTAGGTGGGTCGGGTATAACGGGATGGCGGTTTTGAGGGGAAGAACGGGCGGGGCAAACGGCAAAGGACACTAAATTGGCAGATAGAAGCCGAAAAATGTTGAAAATCGAAGGAAAATAAATTTTTGTTTTAATGAAGTCAAAATAGGGGGAGGATAGCGCGCAAATAGGGAAAACCGTAGGCAATGACCAATCAAATGAGGGCTGGCCGGGGACGTGATGTGATTGGCCGCCGGGGCGAGTAAACCTGAATCGCCAAGCGGCTAACCAATGGGATCATTGGCGCCGCACTTGAAAGTGGTGTGCGTTAGATAGGCACGATGCATACGATGCGTAAAGGGGACGCGGGCGGTCAGCAGTGTACTGCGGTTGGGTAAGAGTATTTGTATGGCATGCTTATGACAATTGCATCACTACCCGGCCCCTTACTGACCCCCTCCTCAACCCCTCCCTATTTGTTATATCGGTGATCTCCACGGCATGCACCGTTTAGTACGCATAACGTGAACAATGTTTAAGATACCTGGACGTACTCCAACACCACCGCACCAACCTACAGCAAGTCGGCAAACTCCCGACCTTGGCGGTCGCTGTTTTACGGGATTTGCAAGTATCCATGGTGAGAACAGCTTGTAGGCCTACGTAACCCTTTTAAGTTTAAATTTATCCGCCGTAACCCAAATTGGGGGACCAGGCGTGGAAGTACAGATAGACGAGACGCTCATAAGTCGCGGCAAATAAAACAGGGGACGACCGCGGCGGCAGTTGTGGGTCATATATGTACGGTACACGCAGGCGGAAAGCCCTATTTGAACAGATTAACAACCGCAGCTGGGAGTCCATGAGGCCCGTCATAAGGAAGTGGGTGGCTGCTGGTAGTTTTATCGTAACCGATGAGTGGAAAGGTTCCACCCGCCTACCGTCCGAAGGTTGTAGGCACTGCACTGTGAACCGCCGTAGGGGCTTCGTGAATCCCACAACGGGACGGCATACGAACGCCATAGAGGCCAACTGGAGCAGATTAAGGGGGAACCCTAACAGCAAGCGAGCTCGCCGCAAGCCGGTGTACTTGGGGGGGAGGGGGTAGTGGGTCTGGAGCCTGCTCGCGGTTTGGATTGGTTCCCGGGTCGGCTGCGTCGGCGTCGCCAAGGGCGCAAGCGGCCGCGCATAGTTGCACTTGATTATCGATTGGCTTGGTGCCCGATAGTCCTCTGCCTCTTGCCGGTGCCACTTTTTGCTCTCTCATGCTGCACTGCACACGTCGTGTCTCGCTCTACGCTGACAATGCCTACCCTAACTGTCTTTGTTTTTGTGTTCGCTTGTGTCTCCTTTTACGCACAGTTATATTTACTCCTGTTAGTAGGCGTTCATACGGCGTCAAGCCTACCTACTGCGATTGCAGCCGTTACCTACTGACGATGGGAAAGCTGGCGATTGAGGAAAGCCTACAAACGCCAATTGGATAAGCTAACCAACGAGCGCGCAGACAAGGACTGGAAGGTGTGACTCTGTACTTCGTCCACATGCTCTCCATGCCTACCTACAGTGCCTGTGGCCGTTACCGGCCGGTCAAAGAGGGAGCTGTCGTTTTAGGATAGGCAACCATCGACGAGTGGAGAAACTAACCAACGAAGGGCAGACGGAAGACTGGAAGGTATGACTCTGTACTTCGTCCACTTACTCTCCATGCCTACCTGCAGTGCCTGTGACCGTTACCGGCCGGTCAAAGAGGGAGCTGTCTAATGAGGAGAGCCAACCACCGGCGATTGGAGAAACTAAACAGCGAACGCGCATACGGAAGACTGGAAGATATGAATCCGTACTTCGTCCACTTACTCTCCATGCTTACCGACAGTGCCTGTGGCCGCTACCGGCCGGTCTAAGAGGGAGCTGTCGTTTGAGGAGAGCCAACCATCGACGATTGGAGAAGCTAACCAACGAAGGCGCGGACGGAAGACTGGAAGGTAAGACTGTGTACTTCGTCCACGTACTCTCCATGCTTACCGACAGTACCTGTGGCCGTTACCGGCCGGTCAAAGAGGGAGCTGTCGATTGAGGAGAGGCAACCATCGACGAGTGGAGAAACTAACCAACGAAGGCGCAGACGGAAGACTGGAAGATATTACTCTGTACTTCGTCCACTTACTCTCCATGCCTAACTACAGTACCTGTGGCCGTTACCGGCCTGTCAAAGAAGGAGCTGTCGTTATAGGAGAGCCAACCGTCGACGATTGTAGAAGCTAACCAACGAAGGCGCGGACGGAAGACTGGAAGGTAAGACTCTGTACTTCGTCCAGTTACTCTCCATGCTTACCGACAGTGCCTGCGGCCGCTACCGGCCGGTCTAAGAGGGAGCTGTCGTTTGAGGAGAGCCAACCATGGACGATATGAGAAGCTAACCAGCTAACGCGCAGACGGAAGACGGGAAAGATATGACTGTACTTCGTCCACTTACTCTCCATGCTTACCTACAGTGCCTGTGGCTGTTACCCGCCGGTCAAAGCGGCAGCTGTCGTTTGAGGAAAGCCAAATATGGACGATTGGAAAAACTAACCAACGAAGGCGCAGACGGAAGACTGGAAGGTAAGACTACGCACTTCGTCCACTTATTCTCCATGCCTACCTACAGTACCTGTGGCCGTAACCGGCCGGTCAAAGAGGGAGCTATCGATTGAGGAGAGGCAACCATCGACGAGTGGAGAAACTAACCAACGAAGGCGCAGACGGAAGACTGGATGATATGACTCTGTACTTCGTCCACTGACTCTCCATGCCTACCTACAGTGCCTGTGGCTGTTACCGGCCGGTCAAAGAGGGAGCTGTCGATTGAGGAGAGCCAACCACCGGCGATTGGAGAAGCTAACCAACGAAGGCGCAGACGGAAGACTGGAAGGTAAGACTACGCACTTCGTCCACTTACTCTCCATGCCTACCAACAGTGCCTGTGGCTGTTACCGGCCGGATGATTTGAGAAGCTAACCAAGGAACGCGCTGAAGAAAGACTGTAAGGCATGACTTTGTACTTCGTCCATTTACTCTCTATGCCTACCTACAGTGCCTGTGGCCGTTACCGGCCGGTCAAAGAGGGAGCTGTCGTTTGAGGAGAGCCAACCATCGGCGATTGGAGAAACTAAACAACGAACGCGCATACGGAAGACTGGAAGATATGACTCTGTACTTCGTCCACTTACTCTCCATGCCTACCTACAGTGCCTGTGGCCGTTACCGGCCTGTCAAAGAAGGAGCTGTCGTTTGAGGAGAGCCAACCATCGACGATTGGAGAAGCTAACCAACGAAGGCGCGGACGGAAGACTGGAAGGTAAGACTGTGTACTTCGTCCACGTACTCTCCATGCTTACCGACAGTACCTGTGGCCGCTACCGGCCGGTCAAAGAGGGAGCTGTCGTTGTAGGATAGGCAACCATCGACGAGTGGAGAAACTAACCAACGAAGGCGCGGACGGAAGACTGGAAGGTAAGACTCTGTACTTTGTCCACTTACTCTCCATGCTTACCGACAGTGCCTTTGGCCGTTACCGGCCGGTCAAAGAGGGAGCTGTCGTTTTAGGAGAGCCAACCACCTGCGATTTGAGAAGCTAACCAGCTAACGCGCAGACGGAAGACGGGAAGATATGACTCTGTACGTCGTCCACTTACTCTCCATGCCTACCTACAGTGCCTGTGGCTGTTACCCGCCGGTCAAGAGGGAGCTGTCGTTTTAGGAGAGCCAACCGTCGACGAGTGGAGAAACTAACCAGCGAAGGCGCAGACGGAAGACTGGAAGGTATGACTGTGTACTTCGTCCACTTACTCTCCATGCCTAGCTGTAGTGCCGGTAGCCGTTACTGGCCGGTCATAGAAGGAACTGTCGATTGTGGAGAGCCAACCATGGACGACTGGGAAAGCCAACCATGAAAGGCACGTACGGAAGACGTGTAGGTATGACTCTGTACTTCCTACACTTACCCTCCATGCCTAGCTGTAGTGCCGGTAGCCGTTACTGTCCCGTCATAGAGGGAGCTGACGATTGTGGAGAGCCAACCATGGACGATTGAGGAAGCCAACCAATGAAGGTGATGACAGAAGACTGGAAGGTATGACTGTGTACTTCGTCCACTTACTCTCCATTCCTGCCTACAGTGCCTGTGGCTGTTACCCGCCGGTCAAGAGGGAGCTGTCGTTTTAGGAGAGCCAACCGTCGACGAGTGGAGAAACTAACCAGCGAAGGCGCAGACGGAAGACTGGAAGGTATGACTGTGTACTTCGTCCACTTACTCTCCATGCCTAGCTGTAGTGCCGGTAGCCGTTACTGGCCGGTCATAGAGGGAACTGTCGATTGTGGAGAGCCAACCATGGACGACTGGGAAAGCCAACCATGAAAGGCACGGACGGAAGACTGGTAGGTATGACTCTGTACTTCCTACACTTACCCTCCATGCCTAGCTGTAGTGCCGGTAGCCGTTACTGTCCCGTCATAGAGGGAGCTGACGATTGTGGAGAGCCAACCACCGGCGATTGGAGAAACTAAACAGCGAACGCGCATACGGAAGACTGGAAGATATGAATCCGTACTTCGTCCACTTACTCTCCATGCTTACCGACAGTGCCTGTGGCCGCTACCGGCCGGTCTAAGAGGG